CCAAAATAGCAAATCCTGTGGGAAAAAAAAAAAAAAACCCAACCAAGAACCCCCCAGCAAGTTCAATAAGGAATTAAAGGAAAAAAGTGGAAAAAAATCTCAGGTCCCACAGTTTCAAAATGCTGAACTCTTGCTGCATTATGGTCTGGGGCTTCTTCCATGATCAAAATAAGCAAAAGGTTTAGGTTAAGCCAGATTTATACAAACATGTCCCTAACAATGCAAGTGCAACTTACTGTGCACTAACTCTTGCCACAAGTCAGTCATGGGAGCCAAAGACTGGCTGTAGAATCTGTAACAGCTGTAATATCCACGCAGCTATTTTTCTTTTAATTTGAATTAGGGGAAAAAAACTAAATARACAGGTAAAAATCACACCAAAAAAGCTTTATTTTAAAATCAAATAGCAGCTTAAGTTTCATAGGGGCAACTGAGACTTAGCAGCTCACATGCTATACATTTAAGCACATGTTTAACACTTTCAACTCAAGCACTGCTACTACATCTTGTACACATAAAGAACACTTTGCCTATTGCAGTATTTCTCATACACTGCACACAACACAGCACTTCATTGGCAAAATTTCAGATTTATACACACAAGCAGCACCAGAGTAAAAACACAAATGTGCTTTTGTAATACAGCAATAATGTCATGAGAACAATGATTTTTGAATTTTCAAACCTCTGAACAGTCATTATGTTTGTTTTAGTATTGCCAGAATAGATAGAAACATTTTTATCTCATCACATCATTCAACACAAGTTTGTAAAAGTCTGATCATCCAAAATGGGAGAAAGCATAGACTGGACAGATGAATAAATTACATGGCTGGGACATCACACATTTAATTCTCCCTTGCACACTTTGCACCTGGAAGTCTGAATTAAAAACYTTTTTTCCTCAAGGAACATTTGGAAAATTTAAATCAATGATTGCTAGTTGGGCTTCCCCCCTCTCCCTGGAAAAGAAGAGCATAAATTCTTGCATGTTTTAAGATTCCAGTTCAATGCCATCTCTTTCCTATGTTTTTTCAACTTTGACCTATTTGTTTTAAAATAAGATCTCGCTGCAAATGAAGCTCTTTTTAAAAAGTGATTTAATTGTACATGGGATTTCATCACCCCACCTTGTAGTGGGGAAATCTCACACAACATTAGCTAAGGAATATTACTTTCAGGTCACTTGGGATATGACAGTAAAACGAAGAGCCAGGGCCTTGTCAAAGCAGTGCCAGTTATCCAACAGAATGTGAGGCAATGGACCAATTCCCCATTATAACATACAGAGAGACTGTAAACAACCTACAGAGAGACTGTAAACAAAGACTAAGGGGCCATGAAGATCACTTTCTGTATTTCATTAAATCAAGAAGCTAGTTTTCATACTCATAAAATCCAAAGTTCAGTACTGGTGTCATGTCACTCCAGGTTAGGCAGCAGATGACACCTCCAGCCCCAGAGATGGATGTGTTTTAGGGGTTCAAAGTTGCTCACCCCACTTTGTGAGGCAGTGTGGGTGCTACAGATCCTCAAATATAAAAGCTACTCAGTTTGGCCTCTACCACATGATTGCTGCCAGTCAAGCGGATTTAAGGGCATATTTTAATCTCTCTCACATTATTCTGGTCCTGGAATTTTTTGCTTCGAGCTCATAATAATTCTGAGTTGGGTAACTCAGGCCAGGGCAAGGGGCTCCCCATGATAGGTGTTAGTTTACAAAGATGGCAGTGTTTTCTAATGCTAATGTATTCCCATGCTGCATACCTCAACTAACAATTTCACCTCTAACAAATACACTGGAATATGCTGATAGCTCCAACTTGACAACACAATATCATACAGACAG